AAATGAAACTGTCCTCTGATACAATTCCAGACAATGCTCTGATGTGTAGATTAGGGAGAAATATCAAAATATCTGCCAATTTCCTTTGTTTATTTTCTCATTAGTGTAGAGATTGCAAATTATCAAATGATGTAGAATAAATTGCTTTCTCTTTATGGACGAGCACCGCTCCCTAAAGAAGACGTTTATCCGAAGAGTTGGAACCCTTCGTATGTCTATTTTTCATGTTAATCATGATGTGGAACTTTTGAATTTAACTGAATTTGTGTTGGGTCATTTTGATCGAAACTCTCATTTTAGTTAAAATGGTTGGGACATTCATATTTTAGATATCGACACAAAACTTGCATCTTTTGCAGAGGTCCATTTCAGACGAAATTGCTACTCTGTGATGTTGTAGTTTATATTTTAAGATTACTCAATATACAATGAGATTTCACATAATGTTTCAGTAAAAAATGGCGTTTGGACATCTGTTGAGCATGTCCTGACCAGGATAGTAGTTAAAGAGGCCATACAACATCTGATAAAATATACCAACAATCCTGAAACACCATTAAAGACAGGGATTGCAACCCCCCCAACTTGGATGTGGTGAACGGGGATTACAAAAGAGGATACGGCTTTTCAGACTTAAATGTCGACCAAACCATGTGAGTTTGGATGCTTGCAATATTGATCTATTTATTAATTTCAAAGACGAACAATGTGATCGGAATCCGTCACACCATAAATCCTCCAAAACACTCCACTGGCGCTCTACTGAATGAAATATCCGGTCGTACGTTGGCGACCCCACTCATTTGTCAATATTTTGAATGGGCAGTGGACAGAAACCATAAAACCCAAAACGCCATGGCAGGGATTACGTCACTAATACGTAATACAGTAGGGGAAGCGGAAAACAGGGATCACGCAGGTAAATTTTCTCTCTTCATCTTCATAATTATTATATATCATGCAAGAATCCGGTCACTTTCCCTATATTCTCGAAAATACATCCGCTTAAACTGCGTACTTGATTACAATATTCTCCACTGATGTTTAAAACGCCGAAATAAAGAACCACTACTCTGGACAAAACATGCCTGCTTTTGGAGAGATGTGGCTCAAAAACGCCACAAGAACTCTGCAGCTTCCATTTCAAATGGTGCTAATGTAAATAATTTAATAATGATTTAAATTCTTTTAAGTTTTAAAAAGAAATTACCAAAGTTTATGCTGTTGTTGATTCCAAAACATGATCCGAGAAATAAACAGTTTCAGGCAATATTGCCTCTACTCTCTGTAAATTTTTTCAACAATCAAATAGAAATTGCGGCATTATGGAATTAGGTTTGATCTAAAAGTCCTATTGCGGATTGTGCTATTTCATATAGGTCAATGACATGGAAATCTCAAATCTCATATTCACTAATTTCAGAGTTTTGGACCAAAATAACATTTGGCTTTGAAGCTTAGGTCTGTGAAGTTGGCCTTTTTACTCACCAATCGCCCGTTTCCACCCGACAACAATCTCACTGTTATTGTTTTTCACTCTACGAATGCCTCGGGCCGATGGTCAAGCGCAGCTTCCTCTGCAAGTCGGTTTGACCATTGTTGGAGACGGGGGGGGGGTAAAAATCTTGCAACTTGTTACAGCTACAAAGAGCAGCCAATGTCGCAGGTCCTGATGGTATCACCTAAGAAGTAACACACCAACAATGGTCGTGCAGGCAAACAAGACGCCTCCCCACCTTTGACATCAAACCGGCGTATTTATTGACTTTTTGTTCTTCATTTTAGAGTGCTATGAAATTTATTTCAGTTGGAAGTCCAAGAAATTTCTCACAATCCGCCTTTAAGGCGACTTAATTCCCCCATGGCCCTGGTCAAAAAGTGTGGGATATGACCCAAGTCCCTGGGATTTACGCCATAGACAAATACAGTGTCGTTAAGGATGGTCTCAATATGCAACCCAAAGAGAGCGTAATGTTATGTTGACATGCGGAATCGCTTTATTTACACCCTTGGTACTGTTTGTCTTTTATTAATTTTGTGATACTGTTTGTCTTTTATTAATTTTGATGCACTTGTTTATGTTTTCGATTGCATTCTTATGACTAATCAAATATTGTGTGTTATCCCTTGAAAAGTCACAGTTAAGGGTCAGCAGGCCCATTCAGAAACGAGTCTGTCAGGAAGACAGTTGTTGACTGTTCTCCCTTAAAGAAGTCTTCGTGTGGAAAATGCTTGAAGATCTAAAGCTAGTTGTACAGAATATTTATCAAGTTATTATTCACTTGATTTGACAGTTGGGTGACAGGTCTGACAATTGATCATATTCCACTCAACGCCTTCAGCGGACTTTCCAACCTCCAGTGGCTGTAAGTGTGAGGTTGTCTCTGTTTTGTGTTAGTGTTATGCTGTTTTGTGGTAAATATTTAATCTGCCTATTTCATTACACATAATACATAAAAAGACCTCTTGTGGGTCAAAGACTTCTAACCTTGGAGCTGCAGTGGCAAACCGAAGCAGGAGGCGGGGGGGGGTTGAAACCTGCCCTCTGGTGTGTTTGTGCATCAGCAGCTGTTTTACGAAGGGAAGGGGTGAATTTAGGTTCAAGCTCCTACCCTATAGACAAGAAATATTGGATGTGGAACTACGTTTGCAGATAAAACTTTTGCCTCTGTTTGCTTGCTTTAACAGCCGAAAAAAAACCAATGATGCAGGGAAGGGTTTGGTTGGAGTTGCCAATGACTTCGAAAGTGCGGTGCTCGTAATGGTCATTTCGATAAATGTGACTTGCAATGTTATTTCTGCAATTGCTTATTGTGACCTTTTACGTGACTTATTTAAAATAATGTTGATCTATCATGTCAATATATTCAGTATGCTGTTCAATGTGTCGGGAAAGACCAAGACCAAGACAATTTCAAACATCGAAAAAGGTGCTTTTGGAGGGATACGGACTTCACACCTGAAGTGAGTCGTTCAATTTCTTTTCCGAGCGAAATATATCAAGTTTAATATTTTTCCTGACCATGTGTTTAATTTCAGCCTTTTTGATTTGTTTCAGACGCGCATGTTTTAGCCGTATGAGATCCAATTTTAACAGAGCGTCACTTGTTGTAAACATATAGAGGAATCAATTATTTTCGTGAAATTGACAAGGGTAGTACATTAAAAATTGACAAGGGTTGTACATTATTTTCCTGGATCAGCGAAACTTAACAAGAAAAGAAAAAAAAACGGAAAAAAATATCCAGGTCGATTTGCTCCCAAACAACTGAATGCTGCACATTATTTAATTTGTTTGGCTTTGTTATATTTCTTTTTCAATTCATTTCCATAAAATGTGACGTGCCATTCCCATTCCCAAGTAGGGCCTACGTAAACTTCCACAGTTCGTGGTCATATGGAAGTCTCATACAAATATCAAAGCTTTCTGTTGAGAGAATTTAGACTTCGAATCAGTGTGAAAGGTAAAGTGTAAAGGGTGATATCCCTTCGAAAGGCCTTGGAAACAGCAGTTTCTAGGTGCATGAGGTAATTTCTTAGGTACCACGGTGGACGTCGCTTATGTTCTTGCGATCCGGAACATGTTGTAATATATGGTATACAAAGTGACCATTTCCCAACCGATAAAATCGGATCTGTTACCATGGAAAACAACAGGTCATAACTGCTTCAATCTACTTAGGTAACACCAATGTGACATAAAGTATGCCCAGAAATGGATTTGAATGACACAGTATGTCATGGAATATCTGGGTTATGCTCATCAATGGATTTGCTCTTTGAATTAGAAGATAGGATAAAATTTTGGAATTCGTTAGAGAGTTGCCATGAGAGTTGTCTAAACTGTTTTAACCCTAAAGGACCTTGGGGGAGGAATCCACCATCCATGATGATACCTTTACCAATATTCTCGAAGTGCTTGGGTATTTCGACACCAGTTTTGTGAAAATCAAACACATTAATGTAGCGTAGTACCCGTTTTCCGAGACAGGTCAGCCAAACGTGTATGTGGTGCTCGCTGCACGCGCTGTGGTACGCATCCTTGAATGTTTAAGGAATCGTAACAACAAAACAATTTATTTCTGCTCGAGTTCAAACTTCAGATTTACAATGAGGTGAGCATCTGTAGGTTTATGCCAAGATTCAAAAAGGTACCTCAACTGGATGGGAGGGATCCCCCCACCCAGCTGTGAAAGGGGGCCAACATAACTGGTAACCCGGCTCTTTTAGTGTTAAAATAATTGAATATTGATACCAACCGCTTTCTCTGTCGCGCAAGACAAATCGTTGCTTCCTTGGGAGTGACTGCTAATTTGATTAATATCAACGGAAGCAGTAGTGCTTTCCTCAGACGATGCTGGTGCTTTTATATTATTTTGTTTGTACTTTTGTATTTTTCTTATCAAACCTAAGACAACTTATGTTTACAATTCTTCAAAGTGCATTAAGATGTGTCTTTTTGATCAACATTGCAGTTTGACGATCGTTGATGATTACCGCCTATGCTGTGTCGTTTCTGAGCTACAGAATTTTTCCGTCGAGGACGACTGCCTGACAACAAAGGTTAAACCAGCTTTGAACCTGTGCGACAGCCTTATGCCAAACGTCATATTGCGAGTGGCATTATGGGTATTAGGAATAAGCGCCCTCATCGGTAATTTTTCTGTGCTGATTTGGAGGCTTAAGCGGAAAGGGAAAGAAGGGACAAAAAAGACATTGTCACTTATGGTTTGCAATCTGGCTGCAGCAGACTTTCTGATGGGTA